CCATTTGTCACATTTATTGTATATGTCCAATGTATTACAAACTCGTGTTTGTTAACTCATTACTTGAATGCCATGCTGTAATGATGTGCCATTTTGGACTGTTATTTTCTCTTCAAAATAAATGAAGTGAAGATTGTCACTATAGTGTACAAATGTATAATGATGTTCATCTTTAGCTGACAGAATACAATAATATTCCAAATACAGTCTCTAGCATCTTTACTTTCTAGTGTATAATTAGTCTCTGTTTGAACACAGTCTGAAAACAGGGATTGGCCCTCGTGTATGTGTGCACTTGCATCTCTCACATGCCTGGACCGATCACATTGAAACTCCACACATGCATCATACGTTTCGGAATACCTGTGTATGTTCATTCGTTCATGATCTATTTAAAATTTTTGGTGACCATAATTGTGATAAAAATTCATCAAAATTTCAGTCTTGATAGTGTTTTGACAAATTTATTGAAGCTTTGTACATGGTATTTGTGATATTTGTGAGATATTGATGCAAGTCACCTTATTTTACAGACCAGATTAAAAATGGCCAATTGGCAGCCATTTTGTTTTAACAAATGTTGGTATATATCTCTGACTTGCATTAACATGCAGTTTCTGTTTAAACTTTATATATTTCTTGAACTAGATAACTCATGGAGACCAAATAATATAATTAGTGGTACTTATGGCTAAATGATTAGCAGGGTTTGATTGCGGGTTTGACTCCTATGGTTGCTGCCCACTCACCAGTGACATACAATACTGTTCACTTGCCTAGTTCACAGTATTTAGGTTTGGAATATGGCATCCAGTAAGAGGTGACTTAACCTGTCAGTCCAATGTGCTGTTTCTGTATTCAGTGAATGTAAAATATCACAGTATCCTTGTCTCAATGTTTAGCTGATAAGTGTAGGAACTTGTCCTCATTCCAGATCTGTGATTGGGATTTAGTCTCGTTGGTATCCTTGAAATAAATAAATAAATAAATAAATTTAAATAAATTGTGTGTTGTTATTGAGTTTATTTATTGAAGGTGTGTTGTAAAATGCCTGTGTAACCATGTGTAGTGTTGTACAGCCCCTAAGGGTGAAACACAGATGCAAGCTGTATTTATTTTACCAATGGTATAATTGTTTACAATAACTTCCTTTATGTTAATTCGTTTCAGACAGTTATTTGATGGGAAAGTAGCCAGTTACCATGTCAACCTACAGCGATGACAACGGTCCCAATATGAACGTCTCTGATTCATTCTGGGAATTGGGTAATTACAAGAGGACGGTGAAGCGAATTGACGATGGGCATAAGTTATGCGGTGATCTTATGCAGTTGATAAATGAAAGAAGTGAAATTGAAAAAAGCTATGCTAAACATCTTAAACAGTGGGCTAAGAAATGGAACGATCTTTTAGAAAAAGGTTTGTAGGCTACATTATGTATATGCATCAACCTCTAAGCATATATTAAACATTGAGTGCCTTTTAAAAATAGAATTGATTTTTTTGTTAATTTTAATTTTAGTTGCCATGTTCAAAGTACAAACAGATAACTAATAAATTCGTTGGCTTCCTTTTAATGGAAACCAGGAAGCATATCTAACAATATACATGTTTTTGCCTCCCAAACATGGCAGCTTATCCTGATTTTTTTTTTTATTTTTATTTTTTTTCAATCACAAAATTTAAATCG